GCATCAAGACATCCTGCAATATGATATATAAAAAAATTCAAGAAATCACGCGCATGCACGTGTGCTGCAATCTGATTGGCTGAAACTTTAAATGGCTATATCTCCTTTGATTTTTGATGAAATGCTTTGAAATTTAAAACATAGTCATGCATCAAGACATCCTGCAATATGATATATAAAAAAATTCAAGAAATCACGCGCATGCACGTGTGCTGCAATCTGATTGGCTGAAACTTTAAATGGCTATATCTCCTTTGATTTTTGATGAAATGCTTTGAAATTTAAAACATAGTCATGCATTAGGATATTCTACAATATGATTTAGAAAAAAATTCTTGAAATCACGTGGATGCACGTGTGCTGCAATCTGATTGGCTGAAACTTGAAATGGCTATAATTCCCTTGGTTTTCAACCAAACAGGATGGGATTTAGAACATGAATATATATAAGGGCCTCTAACAAGAAGGTATGGTCATCATGCACGTGCACGCACGTGCGTGCATTTGGAATGAGTGAAATTAAAAATACACTTGAATGAGTGATTTTTTAATACTTTTGGACTAAATGCTTTAATATTAAGTATATTCAAATATATAGAAAGTGTAGACAAGATTATATGATCATTATGCACTGCATTCACATGCATGGGCACGCATGCAATGTTAAAATTTGAATATAATTGGTATCCTTTTGGTAAAACGTTGTTAAAGTAAAAAATGCACAGATGTTGTCTTATTTAATTAGGCTTACAGGGAATATGGCACCAAAAGGGAGTTGGGGAGCGTTTGGGGAACATCTGTAACGGTTCCCGTTACAATTAGCACTAGTTTTGTATGTGCTAATATTCGTTTTATTACTACGGAAAGGGAAGCCTTTCAAGGATGAATTCCGATTTTTTATTTCTTTATTCTCTTTTGATTTTTAAAATTATTTTATTTTTCGTTTCGATTTTGCTTGTTCATTTTCTTTTTTACGTATTTATTTTACTATTAATTTCTTTCTTAGTTCGACCATAACCAATTTGAACATACACCATATCCCCACCCCCACCCCCTCCTTATAAAAAAAATCGCTCGTATATTTGATCAATGAATGTAGTACCGGATTATTGTCTTGAAATTCACATAATCAGACTGAGTAAAGTTTGTAGATTTTTTTTCAAACCTCGATAGTTCCGTATTCTTTCTGAACTATAGATGATAATTTCATATTTGGGAAACTGTTCACCCCTTTGTTAGTGTTGCCGAAGAACTATCTCAATTTACATTGCGATTGTAAAATCAATTCTTTTATTCACAAACTCTTATTTTTATGAACTCTTAATAATAGTGTCTGATCACCCCCCCCCCCTTTTGTTTATCTCTGTATAATTACCTTTTATACAGCCCTTTCCCATAAATAAAGTTGCTTTCTATACCTGTCTGTTTACTGCATATGATTTAATTTTTTTTTTGTTTTTTTTTTTTGAATCAGGAATGAAAGAAATTTTGACATTTTCATTTTAAGAATTACCCACCCTATAAGAACGAAAAGTTAGGTTTTTAAAAAGTTTTTTTGAATAATATCCTTCAATCAGCATTAATTTGTGACCTCATTTGTTTTATTATTATTATTTTTTTTTGGGGGGGGGGGGGTGTTTATGGCTTACACATATCACTCGGTGCTCCTCGGATGTCTTGTATACCTGTTTAAATGGAGTGTAGCGGAGCAAGACGAGGATTACCGACTACATGCACATCATCCATAATGAGATCTATCTATCAAAAAGTACAAAAAGCAAATTATTGAAACTTTTGCTTACAATCACATGCGGAGAATAAATTGAAGGAAATTTGTACCAATGACAGCGTATTTATTGTTTGGATTTTCGGCGAGTCAGGCTCATTTCACACCATCTAAAAGTATATATGAACGTGATTTTAACTGATTATTTTATTTACATGTATGTAAATGTGTATGTAAATCTGGGACCCTTGACTTGGTCAATAAAATATTCAGGCACGTAGCAACCGAGGGGGGGGGGCAGGGCCCCCCCCCCCCCACTTTTTTCCAGAACATTACCTTAACTATAGGAAATGTCCATTGAAAAGATGGTTGCCCCCCCCCCCCCCCACTTTTTACTACAGTATATACAATGTATTATGCAATGTTAAACAAAGAAACAAATAAATACAAAAGAGTAATATATAGAAATACTTTAAACAAACTTTTATTTACAGTATATTGATTATGTATGTTGTAATCCCCAACTGCTGTAACATCATTTATCTTTAGTTAGTTACTGCTATCAATTTTGAATTTCTGCTTGTATGTTTTTTTTTTTTTTCCTTATTACTTGTATGCCCTGATGGGCCCCAAATTGGTATTAATAAATCTTATCTTATCTTATCTTATCTTATACATGTATATAGCAAGGAAATATGGGAAGATATAGGAAGTGAAAGGAATTTGGTCTTGAAAATAGTTGACTACTACCTCCCCCCCACGAAATAGGATTTTCGAGTTTGGGCAATTTAAAATTGTGGTTTAGAGAATAGGTGGCACATAAGAAAAGCTTAAACATGTCAATTAAAAGTTAACCATTTTATAATGCTCTGAAAATCGAATTTAACGTCTGACTTTGAATTAATTGTGTTGCATCAAACCTAGATAATTATATAGTATACGTAACCTAGGTATTTTTTATCGGTATATTTTAGTGCAGAACAAATTAAACCCCTTAATATTTTTAGCACGTGAATAAACAAAAAACGTTTTTCTTTTAACATTGTACAACACATACATGTAATATTTTATCTTTATCAAATTGTACAACTGTAAGCACCGAAGTATTGTGCCTCAGTTCCAAAGCACAACGTGCCGGACTCTTTTCAAAGAAGACCTCCCTTTCCTCTGCCAATGTACGAAATCTTTTATTTCTTTCACTGATATACATGTATAGTTAAGTAAAAAAAATGATACAGTGTGTGAACCGGTTTATTTAATTTAGTTTTACAGCATATTAAATCATTGTCATACAGGCAAGTACCATCTTGAAGGGGGGGGGGGGGTAAAACACGTTTACTAGTATTCTATTTTGAATTGGGAGATTTTCCGAATTTCAATATAATTTTCAAAATAAAAAAGATTGGAATCCTTTTTGGAAGAAGTGTGAAATAATTAAAAGGCAAATAATTACAATGCCTGAAAGTTACATCCAAACCATCCCCTAAATTTAGTTCATAAAAAAATACATGTGGGCACTGCCTAAGGGTAAGTTATTGTGGAGGTGGGTTTGCGAATACCTAAAGGGAAATAAGATTCACTTTGACAGGGATCAATCCTTAAGACCTTACTACATAAACAGTGATGTCAGATACTCTTTTACACTCCTTTGCCATGCTTTGCGGGCAATCGTAATTACTCGGTCAATCCCGTGAACAATAAATAATTTCTCTTGGAAAATGGCCGTGCTTTTACGAATGCCTTGCGAGATGATTTCAAAGTAGGAACTTTTTCGTTTTTTATGGTCAGCAGTATGTCCCTTGTCAAGGATCCATTCAAATGCGAATTTCCAGTGATGAAAGCATGGTTATGTTGATGATGTAGAAAAAAAGTTGAGATGATGTCGTTGAATATACAATCATTTGGCCAGTTCCGAATTTTGTATTCCTTTAGAATTTACACCTTACTTTATTATTTCAATATACATGTACATTTAGATGATTTTTTATTTCAATAACCTTTAAATTATCAGAATTTTTTTACAAAGTACATGTATACGACCATATAAATGCTAAAATCTGGAAAAATAGATATTGAAGAAACTTTAAAATATATCTAGAAAAAATTATTTCTATATAACTAATACAAAAGGGTGATAAGTAATGACGTTTCAATTATCAATGACGTTGTGTGACGTTACGAAACGTTTTATAGCGTTATCTTGATAGCATTACATTGATTTTATATTGAGTTTTAATTAGAATTCAAAGGGTAAATAATTAAAAATTTGGTATCAAAATATTCAGTAAAACTAGCTCTTTCAGAATCTGTAAAAAACCGATTTTCGAAAATTTTGTCACGAAGGTCCCTTTTCGCTTGACGCAACTCATATACTTAACTTAGTGTAATTATTTTTATTTTAATTTTAATAAAGTGATGTAGCTGATGTATTCCAAAGAAAATTGCTTCCTTCATGTACAAAAACCGTTTGCCTGAACAGGGTTTTGAGAATGTGTGAAAATAATTTTCATGCGACAGACAAACACAAAAATTCTACAGCATTGTTTGTCAATGCTTACAATCTGACAATGTCAATTGTATCGTGTGTTTGTCTAGGCCCTATGAGTTATTTCTAAGGCTAAATATTCTAAGAATGTTCACTTTAATAATATGCTCCTGTAATGCTCAATATCTCAATGTAAAAGTTAACATATACTTTCTTGGAAAAGTCTCTTTTTTTTCTAAAGCCTAACTAGGGCTAGCTTCTAAAACAGGAAAAAAGTAGTTCCGTCAGTGTCAAGGACATTGTCCTGACAGTGGCTTCTAGTGAGAAAACAATCTAATGCACGCTGTCACACCTCATGTCACACCAATGTATTTCTAAGCAAGAGTATGACAGCGATTTAAGACCACTGCACCGCTTATTTTGGTGTAAATGCATTCCTCTAGTCAACAGGAAGTCTGGATTCTGTGTATTTACAACATGGCGGAAACAAACCAACTTAGTCCCAGACGATACATCAACTAACGATGTACGTTGGAACAGACCGAAGAAATTGACAATTCGATACTGCATCAACTGACAATGAAGCATTTCGGCAAATACCTCAACAAAAATAAAATGTATTTTCCGTAATTTGTCATTTTTCGGCACCAACTAGGCTCATTTGTCTGACGACACACTTTCAAACACAGGGTTCGTATTCTTTTCATAAGAATGACAGATCAATTGCTCATAAGAAAAGTAATTATTTTACAATTCAATGATATATATGAAAGCGTGAATATACATTACCGATAAACACGATGCTAGATATAATTGTTTAAGTATTTCCCAGCGTCAACGCAAGTACGTGCCATCTGAACCATTTTATGACCAAATAACATTTAGATTAATTTACAACACATCCGCCCTAAAGTAATCCGTTTTAGTAAACGACTCTTTTTCGATATTCAATCAAAGATTTACAAAAAGATATACTTTTGTTCAATATAACGTCAAAATATAAAATATATAATTATTATTTTTTTCATTTAAACATTAGCAGCACAAAAAAATCCGCGGATTGATTTAACAATTCTGCATAATAAAAATAAAACAGAGGAAGTACATAAAAATCAAAGTACTAAAAATCATCACACTAGGCCCATGTTCAGGGTCGGTAGTAGGGGGAGGGATTTCCCTTTTGGATAAATGTCAAATAATTATATGCCATAGGCATCAGAACCGGCTGGGCAATTTTTTGTTGTTGCAAATATAAACATCATATAGGCATTGAACATTGGGGCGTAGGTTTAGCCCCCCCTCCCCCAACACACACTTTCAAAAGGCACGTTGCAGTTTAGGTCCAAAAAGGGTAAGTGCATGGTCGTGTTTGTAAAGAACAAAATTGGTACCGAAAGAAGTGATCCCCCCCCCATGAAATAGTACTTTCCAGTGGCGTAGCATCGTTTTTGAAAGTGGGGGGGCCAGGCAGAGAAAATTTTTTTTTACTTACCTGAAAAAATTGACAAGCAAAAAAAAAAAAAAAAAAAGTAAAAGTTGCCCGAAGTCGAAAATCCTATTTCGGGGGAGGGGGGGGGGGGGGTACGTAAACTTTTTTTCAGTGTCAACTACTTTTAGTACACCAACTCTTATACTACATTTTCGGTACATTTCTAAAACTGGGGGGGGGGGGGGGGCAAACAGGCTTTGAATTAACATTTCCTATAGTGTAAGTAAGGTTGGGTGAGGGGGCCAGGCCCCCCCTGGCCCCCCCGGATACTACGCCCCTGCTTTCGTGTTTGGGCGATGGTCACATTTTTCTCTCTCTCTTGTTTTGGTTTGAATTTTTTTCATTTTCACTTACCCCCTCCCCCCCCCCTCCATTCCATTTGATTTCGAAGCCAATGTAATACTAAGTACTATCAGTATGTTTTAAGGTTACAACAGAGCATTTCACCGCAAGGCCGAACTCAATTTTTGGTTTAAGTATGATCAAACAATTTTTTTTACTATTAAAGATGAACTGAAATTTCATTTTGGACAGATCGTTTTTCATTTCCCTTTTTTGCTTGTCAGTTTTTCAGCATTCAAGCATTTTACATCAATTTTTCTGCACTCCCTCGCCTCTTTTATAAAAAAGAAAGCTAACTATAGTACTACTCATAATATGTTGACGGTGCAACCGTTAGAGCGAGCGCAAACTATTCTTTTGTTTTAATTTAGATCGGGCTCGTCAAACCGCACGTGACATTTGGTGCGTCTAGACTCTGACGTCACATGACGTCGTATGTAAGTTACAAATACCAAGAAAAAACTGAACAGTGCTGAAAGTTGATGAAAAAAGTTACGTTTACAATTTATCTTCAATATGTATCCATTTAATCAAGGCGAGTAAACTTTTGTTGAACACTTGCCGTCATTCTCGCGAGAACGCAACTTTGCTAAGTGATGCATTGTGGGTCAAAATTACTGCAGCAAAAAATTCTAAAGAATGAATGTGCAGTAGTCCGAATTTTCTCTTCGCCCAGGCGTTGTCGTTAGAGCTCGCAGTTACGAGCGGCGCTTCGCGACGCTCGCTAATATGTTGACGGTGCGACCGTTAGAGCGAGCGCAAACACTTCTGTTGTTTTTATTTAGATCGGGCTCGTCAAATCGCACGTGACATTTGGTGCGTCTAGACTCTGACGTCACATGACGTCGTATGTAAGTTGCAATACCAAGAAAAAGCCTGAACAGTGCTGAAAGTTAATGAAGAACGTTTCGTTTTCTATTTATCTTAAATATATATCCATTAAATAAAGGCGAGTATTTTTTGTTGAACATTTGCCCTAATTCTCGCGAGAACGTAGCTAAAACAAGTGATGCATTGTGGGTCGAAATTACGGCATCAAAAAAATTTATCGCATGAATGTGAAGAAGTCCGAATTTTCTCTTCGCACAGGCGTTGCTTTAAGAGCTCGCAGTGACGAGCGTCGCTTCGCGACGCTCGCTGCGCTCGCTATTAGTCATTATACTCATTTTAAGAATGAAAATCAGTTGCGTATATTCCATATAGGCTTAAAGTAGGTCTATACTCGCACTACGTCATTACGAATAGTAAAACCGGAACCGCGCTTCCTTTTTCCGAGATGAGATTTTTTAACTATATTGGTCTGACTTTTATTTAGCGTTTTAAATATCCGGTAACGATTTTGCTCGAAGTCGGTGGCGTCAACAAACACATATTCTACAGTCTAAGGATAAATTAATTAAAAAGAGGAGGCTGGGAACAACTTTCGGTTGACAGAAATAGTTAGGTAATAAAACGATATTTCTGTGATTGATGCATGTTTTATATGCCGCGCCGAAAACACGGACCATATTCATGCTACATCAGAACATGTATCAAACTATCGAGGCGACTATTGTCGGCGGCGAAGTTGAAGCTAATAGTGATAATTCGGAAGAAAAGTAATGACTACGATTTGACTTTGACAATTTATGGATTTTACTAATCAATCATTACAAAATTTACTTTGAATAATAATTATTGCATAAAACGCATACCCCCCTCCCCCAACCTGCTTACCCACGAATCCCAATGCAAAATTATCTTTTGAATAAGTAATTACTTTCATTTTCATCGTCTCCAATTTAAAGACAAGTGTGTTTTATTTTTTTTTTTTTTTTTTTTTTTAGTAAAATAAGATAAATTTTAGGGACAATAGGTTTTGGGTTTGTAGAATTATTGTTTTAAATCATGTATAACTTTGTTAATACAATTATACACTCAAACATTAACAGTATTACAGAAATATGTGGCAATATATTACTTCTGGAAGAAAGAAAATAGGGGGGTCCCTTTAGTGTAGAGCTCATACCACGAAAAGTAATGCGTCAACATATAATTTTTTTAAGCTTATTATTTTTCTTAAATATAATTTAGTAAATATAATGCAAATTTACGAAGTTTGAGTCCATAATTTTTTTTAAATGACCGAGATTGTCCTATGAAGCATATTTTCTCACATTAAATTTTGATACAATAGCCTAACAAAGTGCATCTACATGTATTTATAATAATCCATGCAAAACAATGATTATATATTGTTTACTAACATGTTTCTACTCTATTTTGGGTATTAAAGTTGAATATTTAGACTTAAATTAATTTATATACAACAAAATCTAGGATAGGTAAAATTTCAGTATTTTACATTTCGGGGTATATACTCCGATAGGCTATAGCGGAAAAGTGAACATGTTGACATATAATTTTTCTTGTGTCTATCCATTGCTGGGATGCATGTCTATCTTATAAAAGCAGATTTTTAAAGATTGAGCCCATTTAGTGCCGAGTATAGAACTACCTTAAGGCTGCAGCCCACACATCATTTTCTCAAGGTGTACATAAAATGTATGCATATATAACTCTGAGAGTAATATAAAATGACAGGATTTACAATTAAGTTACTTTAAGAATAGGTCTTGCCTTTTTAATTTTATTTCATTTGACGTCGAATGCCAAAAAGGTATTATTTCTTAGCCAACTGCATTTCACTTACTGTAATCCGATCGTTTGATTCCGAAAGCGGCAGGGTATTTATATAGTAATCGGTATGTCCGTCCGTCTATCTTTCATACTTTGGGATACCCATCTCTTATCTGCAACTCCTCTTATACCACTGAGTGAAATTTAATGAAACTTGAAATTACAGAATCTTCCTTACATACTGCCATTGTGATCTCCTATTTTACTTTTTGATCCGACACATATTTTGAATTTCCCACAGCAAAACAATGACACTGTCATTATATTCAAATTGGAGGCGGGGGTAGCATGTAGTGAGCTCATTGACCACAATACCTCTAGTTTTTTTTTAAACAATCAGTTACATTTACTTATGAACAGGATAACAAACAACAGAATGAAAGCAAAGGTGATTATGTCACCAATAATGTAAAGTGTTTTACAAAAGTCGAACTTCGATAAGTATTGTATCTAGGACTGGGCAATAATATCGATATTTCAATGTATTGCAATACAATGACAAAAAATATCGTATCTCAATACGATTTTGTAATATCGATATATTTGCAATATGCTTAGATTAAGGAATTTTGTCATTAGATATAAAAATGGACTTATGAAAGTTTGTTATTAAGCCATACAGTACGACAGAAGTTGTTTTGTGGGATTACTTCAGTGCTTTACTTTAATGAAATCAACAATTTTTTTTGTCAGTGTTGGTTACTTATCATAGTTATGTACAATCTGCAAGTAAATTAAAGTAAATATAGTAGGAAAATGCCATTTAAATTACATTGAAAATGTTGCAATACATATCGCAATACAGTTAAAATATCGCAATATATCGCAATACGAAATCTCAAGCCAATACCCAGCCCTAATTGTATCATCTTTCGTGTACAAACTTAATCTGAACTTCTTTCCATATAATTTGCTACTTTAGGTACTTCTTATAACCTCAAGTATGTTAAGATTAAATATATCATAGTCACTGTTTGGTCAAATAACAATTTGGTTGTCTTCAACTTGACAAATTACCGGTAAAAAGAAATACAAATTCATTTCCCTACAGCACAATATTATTTTTTTCTGTGGAACTACGAAAGAATTTATATACATATATAATTATACCCCCGCTTGAAAAGCGGGAGGGGGGTATATAGTAACCGGGATATCCGTCCGTCTGTCTAGCTGTTAGGCTTTGGGGTACCTATCTCTTATCCGCATCTCCTCTTATACACTGAATGAAATTTAATGAAACTTTCACACTCAGATTCTTTATTACATAATATCTTTGTGACCTCCTATTTTATTTTTTAACCTAACACTTATTTCGGGCCTCCAAGAGCAAAACAATGACTTTGTAATTATATTTATATGGGAGGC